ACTTGTCTGTAGGGGACTGTTCTTCTTTCAGAGAGGATGTGATGAGCCTTGACAACAGTGGCCATTCAGTGTTCCTGTCACACTTTCATCCAGGAAGCATTTTGATATTAATGAACAAAAGCAGATAGAGCACCTATCACAGGTGAAACAGAAATTGTCCAGACAGTGCTATAAACTGTGTGCAGGTATTACTGGAATTCCTTCTTTTGCTGTTGTATTGAAGAAAGTTTTCCTCAGCAGAAGATTTGAGGCACTTGCTTCCTGAGTCGCTGCCCTCAGGTCCTTGTACAGGATCTCTCGGGTTGCAGGAAAACTGCAGGTTCCATTTCTATTCCTCCATGGACATCAGCATCTTGGAATAATCTGTTGGAAATGTCATCCTTGATAAAAAAAGCCAAAACCAATTACAAAAAGTGTATCTGAAGAAATTCCTGGAGCAACTGAAAGTTTTCAAGACCCGTTGTGGATCTTCACATTTTAAATGAACTTGGTGTAGGGTATGGCTTGGGCCAAGTTCACAAAGCATCATCAGGGTTTTCTTATATCTCAATTCTCCACATCTTCTTCTAGGCTATTCTTCCTCATTCTAGCAGTTAAGTGATACAGCACAACTTATTACTTTTTTAGAAGTATAATCTATATTTAGCGTTGCTCCCTAATTCAAGCTGCCTTCTAAACCTAATGAAATATTTAAATCGGGAAGCTTTTTAGCTTTTAGCACATGAATTTGCCTACAAATAAAAATGTCAGTGAAATGTTCTTTTTCACTTGGATTTTGTTTGTATGTTTATGTGCCTTGCAGATAGGTTTATTTTGCTGATATACACAATGTGCATTTGTATATATACGTGTACTTGTTATTAGATGGGCATGAAAATAAACTAAGCTTCATAATAGCACGTATACAAAAGCACGTGTCATCAAATGAAGGATTCACACATGAAACCACTATTTTGGGTGGTCACAATCTGTGATAAGGCCAAATACACAGTCCCAATTTGCTCAGCACTTGCTGCAGTGCACGGGAGCTGCTTCCTTCCCTCTAAATGTGGTTTGAAGGGCAGGCTTTTCTGAAATTCAGACCATCTTATAATGTACGATATGTTCAAAATCAGTATTCCTTTAAGTGTTGAAATGAGTTCTGGGAAGTGCTTCAAGACTGACGCCTTCGCATGAGAAAAATGGAGGATACTGTCCATGTTGGTGGTTTTTTTTCTTTAAAATCTGCTATTTTTAAGGCAGAAGGGCCAGTTGGTGACAGGGCTGAGACTCCCTTTGTGTGTCCTGCCCCAATCCATGCCCTTCCCCTCCTAAATCCCTGCTTGTGCTCTTAGGGTGCTGCCTGTGTAGGTGTGCCAGCTTTGCTATTGTTTAAAAGATGAGTTGCTCTGTATTCCTTGGATATTTAAAACAACAGCGAGGGATGAAAGACAATAATCTCTCTCCCTTGTCTGCAGGGTGTTGGGTGAGTTACAGTCTTCTGAACAATAGAACAAACGTTTGAACATTACAGTGGTCTCCTCCCCCCCCAAAATACAGAACATTGTGTCGCCTGTGGTGTGTCAGCGAGCCTGGCGCTGCACCCAAGCCTTTTTTTTTTTTCAGGCTCAGGGCCAATGCTTTCAAAATATTGCAGTCACAATAAGCTTTAGGGTTCCTGCTCTGCAGGAAAAACAAACCAACCTCCCTCCCAAGTCATGGGACAGGGGCTGAGTAAGGCCTGAGTAAAGTTGGAAGAAGCAATTCCCCAACTGCTCTCAGCAGCAGAAAGAGCCGCAGGCAGGATGTGGAAAGGGAAGAGGGTTTTTGGGGAAGAACAGTGGAGCCTGTATCTATGTGGCACGTAATGAGCGAGACTCCTGGATCTGACTTCTGGGAAAATCATCTATTGTCTCAGTCTATTGTCTGCTGGAGCCGGCTCTTGAGGACTTACTCCAAGTGGGCTCTGCCCTCCTGTGGCTGCCGAGCTTTTCCAGGGGGAAGGTACGGAGCCAGCTGAGAACCAGCAGAGCCCAAGTATTTGCTGGGAGCTTTTGCAAACTGGGCAGTGAATGCAGGAGTTTGCTACTGTAAGGGGTTGTCCATAAGCTGACACTCTCCTTTAGTACTCATTTAAATTAAAGTGAGCAGGGGAGAAAAATAAACGGTAAAAGCACCATCAGCAAAATTTCATTTCTTTGACCTGTTCTTGCTAGGTCTCATTGACACAAATACAAGAGAACTTCAGGGGGTTTTTATTTTGTTGGGTAATAAACTACTTAATATACTCAAGCCACCTCTTGGTTATTTTCTTAGTTTCTTTTTCTTTCTTAGGCATATATTGTAAACTCCAGCACACATCTAAGGTAAACTTTGATTTCATCACTGCCTGCAACAGTGAGATCCCACCCAAACTACTGAAGGGCCTGAGGTTTCTTCACGTTAAGCTGTCTTTGGATTTTGCAGGGGTGATTCCCATAACTGGCACCCTCTGTTGGGTATTTCTACAAAGCTGTGTTTTGAGCTTCCTTTTGACTTTGTACAGGAATAGGTGACTGGAAAGAAAATAAATAATTAAAGTGAGGGTTTTGACTAGAACACCTGTAAAACTTACAGACTTCCTTGTGATTTCACGGGCATTACTGAAGAATTAATAAGGACTAAAAGGACAAGTTGGTTTTTTTTAAATAAGACAGATGTGTCATGGCAAAGTACATTATGCATGACACCCTGGTTATCGGTTCAACGGTGAATCAGCTCTAAATTATCTCTGATTGCGTGTACCTTTGAAAAAACAAAGGATCCTTTAGAATTTTGCAGTCACTCTCTCACTGGATGTCTCCCTCACCTTATTCCCATTTAGAAGAGGAGCTCACAGGCACGGGGGTCCTTTCTTAAATCCAGAACATGTTTGCTGGGGGCAAGAAGAACAAACCAAGGTGTGAGTTCTCTTAAAAAGAGTCTGTCTGAGGCAGAGAGGAATGAAAGTGATGCTTGTTACACTCCTTCAAAATGTGATTTATAATCCTGATCAGCGCTTTTATCGTAAAACTACATTTTTAAAACATAGAATGCTCTGTGAGGTGTCCACGAAACCTCCGTGCTCTGCTGGCACAGGACTTTGAAAATGTTGCAAATGCTATGCGAATGCTCACTATTGTGGTGCTTAAATTAAACTTATTGATCAGTCATCTAGCGAGTGGCAGCGTGTTAATGAAGGCAGCCTGCAGCAATGTGGGCTGTAGGAGAAAGCAGGCGTTCATCTTGGGCGGAATGAATAATTGTATTTGGCAGATGGAGCTTTGAGACTAGTGAATCCAGTGATAAACTGGATTAATTTTCCCTTTAAAGAAAGCGGCTAATGTGGCTGAAAAGGAGCTTTCACTCTCATCAATTCCTGTAGAGATCAGTGTTGGGGAGGAGAGCTTAATCCTTTGCAAGACTCCACCTGTCTTAAAATTCTAGGCATTTTATGTATGTGCACACACATCATAGGTGGTACCTTTTATAGAAGTACTTGGCAAGTATTGATTAAATATCGGAAGCTCAGGAGCGGAGGGACAGTGATGTTAACAACTCAGAGGCAGATCCGAGAACGGGAGCAGGAACAGAATGACTTTTCTAAAACCAGAATTGGTCCTGAAGACACAGAATGAGCTGAATAAGGTGTCGTGTTGGACATCGTTTTTCCTGGCTTTTTCTGTTTTCCTTTGAAGGTAATGGAAAAGTTAAAGTATAGGAACAAATTTAGCCCATATAACTAGAGCTTCTCATGCTCTTGCCAGTAATCTTGCTGTGTGATCACAGGATTGTGTGTTCCATCACAGATGTGACTTGGTAGTGCTGCCAACTCTCACAGTTTTCATCAGTTTCGCAATAATTAGTCCAAGAAGTAAGATGCTTCATCTCGCTTCGTTTTGCAGGGGAGAAAAAAAAGTGCTTTTAGGCTTTCTTCTTGCACAGCAAAAACTTAACAGCAACCCAACTGTGCTCTGAAGATTCATACATGAAAAGCAGATGGTATTTGTGTCCCAGAAATCCCCATGGAAACTTGGTTGGGAAATTTTTTATTTGGTGTCACAGCAGACCTGGGACTCCCTGACCTAAACATCCTACTATTCCATACCTCTGATCTTTGGGGTGAATTTTGATTGAGTTTGAACTTCCCTTGGTGAGTCCGTGTGTTATCAAAAGTTAGAGGCAGCAAAGCCAAGAACCGACCCCGATTTTGTTCAGTTTTAGCAGGGATGCAGTATAGAAAGAAATTCGGAAAGAAAGGGTGACTCACGCAGTGCAGGGTGAAAACCATGTTTTTCTGCGGTGCGCCGTCTCCTGGTCCAGGTTTTAGGGAGTTAATATGCGTTTTGGGGTTTCATGGTGAACATTTAAAAGGCTCTGCTTCCCTCTAGCGTTTCAGCTTGGCGATTGCGTCCTCTTTTTTTAAAAAAAATATCCTTTTTAAATGATTTTTTTGACGTTGCTGTTCAAAGACACTTCATTAGCCTACTTGTACTGTGCCTTTCTTGGGATTAACCCTCTTGTTCCCAGGCTGGTCTCTTATTTCTAGTGCTGAAATGCACAAAACAAAGGTTATCTAGTGCGAGGGAGGAGACTCCAAGCCTTGTCAGACTTACATAGGAATAGAGCGATGGGCTTTGAAGGTCTTTTGGGTGGAAATACTGCTCATGAGTTAAGGTAATAAAAGGCAAAGGCAAAACCCAGGAGGTTATCTGAAATTTTGAGTGCATAGAGGATGTGGGTGTGACTTTAGTATTGACAGCTCTGGAGTGTGAAGCCATCTGTTCTTCGTGCTTAAATATTAGTGTGAAACTAACTGCCTATGTACGTCTAGATGTCCCCTTTTATCAGCTACAATCTGTCCAGGAAGCTGAGCTGTTGGGTTTTCTTTGACGCTGTGAAGCAAATGAGGAAGAATCCATCAAAACCTAAGCTAGCGACACTTATCGGTGCAGAAATGCCTCCTTAATCCTGGTCTCTAATCACCAGCGTCTGTCTTTCAGCTTCCTGTTCGATTTGGCTGTCTGAGGCTCAGACTGAATTTAAGAGAGTGGCTGAAGAAAACGTGACTTTGCCCTGTCACCACCGCCTGGGCCTCCTGGAGCAAGGAAGCCTGGATATTGAGTGGCTGCTGCACATCTCGGAAACGGTACAAAAAGCGGTAGGTTGAGCCATTCTTAGCATCTGTTGAGAAAAATGTCTTATTTCTTGTTGACATCAGCAGCAGACATTGATTTATAGAGGCTTCTGTGATGATCTTTGCAAGTTATTCTAATGAAGTAAGCGTTGTGTAGAAAACACAGCTGATGTATTTAGAGAGATTTATAAAAATAGAGGAGTTATTTGATACCCACGCGTGCTGTCTTGAACAGGTTGTGTTACAATCAAGTTTTCTTTAAACTAGTGCTGTTATTTAATCAGTCACCATTGGATAAACTTCAGAATTGCCCTTCGGGTTTTCAGAATTGACCTTGGGTGTTTTGTAAGCCCAGTTTTTGAAACCTTGGTTTTAGGAAGAAGTATAGTAGTTTAGTACTCAGCAAAATGAAGTCTGCCATAACTTAAATTAGCTAGGCAAAACCAGCCAAAATTAAAGATTGTTTTTATATATTGTGGCATCAGCTGGTGCCTATTTTGACACTAGTATAAATGCTCCAGTATAAATCTTTAGTGTAAATACAGTTTACATGTCGCTCTCAGACTCGAAATCCAGGTTTAATTTTCCACCCTGACACAGTGACCCTTGGCACGTCTCTTAACCGTGCAGAACCTTGGTCTGCAGTTCCTGGAAATGCTGCCATTTGTTGTCCCACGTGAAAGTAAAATTACAGCAGGCTGATTAGTGACTGTCTCTGCTCCTCAGGTGATCACTTACTCCGGAGGCCGTGTTTACGATGACCTGAATGAGGAACAGAAAGGGCGTGTTTCCTTCACCTCCAACTTCCTTGCTGGAGATGCGTCCTTACAAATCATATCCCTGCAGTCCAGCGATGCGGGGAAGTACATATGTAAGGTTAAAAACGCTGGGCAGTACGAATGGGCCCGCATCACCCTGAAGGTTGTAGGTAAGGTCATTTTATTGTTCTTCCAAAGCAAAAAAATCGCTAGATTTGTTTCCTGGAGAGAGATTTATTTCAGCGGGGTATAAATACAAAGACATCTCACGATCAGGTTTCACTGCCTTAACTCTACATCTGCCTTTGCATTTTTTTTGGCAAAGGACAGGACACAGGAAGAGCCTAAAGAACTGTTTGGAGGTAATTATAATCACGTGCAAAATCATATGAACCATCCTTTCCAAATAATCTCTATGATCTCATCACACAAACTAGACTGATATTCTAGCTAAGCTGAATCAGGCGATCACCCTGTCCAGATCCCTTGCTGAGGACTCTGGGTTCATGTCCCAAACTGTTCCAAGTCAGTGGAGGTGACAAATAATCTGCCGGGGTTAGCATTTCTCTTCCCTGATTTCAGTTTCTTGGTTGGCTTTTGGCCTGTTACACTATCATCCCGTGGAAGAAGTGCTGTGGCCTGGCAGCTGCTGTGGAGAGAAGGAAGAAATGGAGAAGCAGGGGAGGGGAGAAGGATGTTCTCTAAATAGTGCCTAGAAGAGGAAGACAGTGATACAACTCCTCTGATGCAAGGACTCATGAGGCAAACTGTCCCGGAGGATTAGAATGTGTCATTTCTATGTCTGAGCCAACCAGCTCCACTTCTTAGACTATGAAGTTGCACAGGGCTGCAGCTAAAATCCCCTAACAAACATCTCTGGTGTATTTCCTCAGTTCATTCCAGAGGAGGCAGCTCTTGGAAGCTTCTTAAATTATGTGTTTTGCCAAAGAAAGGGTTTTCCACTGAGAAAACAGTCTGCTGCATTTGCCTGACCTGTCTTCTGTTTCTTCCAGAAAAACCTTCCAAGCCCAAATGCTGGCTGGAAGGGGAGCTGCTGGAAGGAAAGGAAGTGTCGCTGCAGTGCCGATCCGCCTCTGGCACAGCACCCATCTCCTACCGATGGCAGCGCATAAACGAGGAAGACGAGAGAGCCGAACATCTCCCGCCTACATCCAGAGTCAGTAAGTCAGGTCCTTTCCTCCCAGAGCTCTCAGAAGGCTCACAGCCAGATAACTGCCCAGAGAAATGTGTATGTTCATGTGCCTGCTTTCTAAACGGAGATCTCTTGGTGGCAGTGATAGCAATGATGTAACAGTGCCTCTCGCTGCTGCAGCTGGACGTTGTGGTGTGCTTCCACAAGGAATTTCACTGAATTTCACTGAATTTTCAGAGTTGGAAGGGACCATAGAGATCATCTAGTCCAACTCCCCTGCTGAAGCAGGATTGCCCAGAGCACATCACTCAGGACGGCATCCAGGCGGGGCTTGAAGATCTCCAAAGAAGGGGACTCCACACCCTCCCTGGGCAGCCTCTTCCAGGGCTCTGTCACCCTCACTGTGAAGAAGTTTCTCCTCATATTTGAGTGGAACCTCTTATGTTCCAACTTGTGCCCGTTGCCCCTCGTCCTCTCACTGGGAACCACTGAAAAGAGTCTGGCTCCCTCCTCCTTCAACCCTCCCTTGAGATACTTGTCAGCATTAATAAGGTCTGCCCTCAGCCTTCTCTTCTCCAGACTAAAGAGTCCCAGCTCTCTCAGTCTTTCTTCATAAGGGAGATGCTCCAATCCTTGAATCATCTTAGTTGCCCTTCGCTGGACTCTTTCCAGTAGTTCCCTGTCTCTCTTGAACTGGGGAGCCCAGAACTGGACGCAGTATTGTGGCCTTACCAGTGCAGAGTAGAGGGGGAGAATGACTTCCCTTGAGGAGTTTGTGTAGTGTTTTGCTGAAGGTTGACAAAGAAAATGCTTAAATGATGCCTTTTCTGAGGCTTCATTGACTGTTCCTGAACTGATTGGATCCAGAAGTTCAATTTGTGCTTCTGCGCCCTGTCCACTGTTAAGGTTTCTTTTGTCTCTTTTTGATTAATCCCTGTGTTATTTTTTTTCCCATTTCAGACATTTCTAATCCGGGGCAAGTCCTCCTGAAGAACCTGACGCACATGAGCACGGGGTTGTACCAATGCATTGCCACCAACGAGGCTGGACAGGAAAGCTGCCTTGTTCAGGTGACGGTGCAGCGTAAGTATTGGCACATAACCAGTGCTGGCACTGCCACAGGAGCAGCGCTGCTTCTCAGCTGCCCCATCCCAGCTGGTAAACTCTCTGCCACACCTTTGCCCTTTCATACCCGAGTCACACCAAGTCGTTTTCTTATTTATTGCATTTATTACAGCAGCCCTCTGTATAACCTGAAGTGGTAAATGCATCGCTTGGTCTCAGGTGTTTTGGTCTGTTAGAAGTTTGATTTTGGGAATGACTAATGAAATATGAAGGAAAAAAAATGTGAGTTAAAAGGCTCCAGAGTCTCCATCTTTTGAGGTTCTTCTGTCTGGAGCGATCACATGAGATTATTCTCAAGTATAAATCTCCATGTGGATGGGCCATCATTCCCAATTACTTATCTGCTGCACTTGCTATAGTAAACTATCTAAAGGCAGCTAGAAATAGTGACTTCGACATGAGGTAACGTGTAGAATAAAAAGCAACTTTTGACACAGTTTGGTTTTAATCCAGATGTAAGAAATTCTGCGTTGAACAGAGATTAACATCAAGGTCCTACCTGATTGACCCCATCAAGGGCGTGTGCATGTTGAGCTATCTGTCTCTTTGCATATCAAAAGGGTGGGGTTGAGCCCCAGCATTGAGGACAAATCCAAACAATACCGTTTCTCGGGTATTTATGAGCTGCTCTCAGGAGAGATCAGCAGGAGCTGAACCTGCTGTGATAAATGGCTGCTATCAGCAGAGTCTCTTCTGTGGAGATTCCATAGCTTTGGAATTGTTCTGCCCAGCCAGGCCTGAAATAGCTGGAATATGGTCATGTAGCAAGGAAAACCTGTTCGCCTCAGGCATCTGAAGTAAAAGCATCCAGGCAGCTTTTATGCCAATTGAACTGAACTGGTTTAAAACCTCACTTTGGTTTGCTAAACCCTCCGTAGGGATGAGCCTTAAGGAAACTACTTTCAGCCAAACCCAACCTAACCACTCTTATCACGGTTGGACAAGATGATCTTTAAGGTCCCTTCCAACCTAGAAGATTCTGTGATTCTGTGATCACAAGGAGTTGTCATAAAGTATCATACATTAGGAAGTGTGCTCTCATTAACTGTGTTATTTTGGGTGAAAAATGCCTTGCACCTGCACAGTATGGCCTTCCTTTCCTCTTTCCTCTCCACCCCCCTCAGGTCACTTTTTTCCCCAGTTGAATAATTCATTCTGCAACTGGATTGTAATCATTTCAGGGCGAGTTGAAGGGGGAAAAAAAAAATCCTCGTGGGGAAACATTTGTAGTTCAAACACTCTTCTGCGTGCAGGAAACTGGTGTTTTGTTTGGCAGGTGGGTTGTCCTATCTCTGTACTTTCTGTGGTTTTGTGCTCTGGTGAGAGGGTTTTTCCTCCTCATTTCAGTTCTGACCCATAGCTGAAGGCATAGCACTTGTGATCCAACCCTTCCAGAGGTGAACACTTTACTCACTGTTAGCTCAGGTTTAGAAACAATCCCTGAAGATAAACTGGTTCAGCTTCTCTGTGTAGACACGCCTAAATAAACAGACCAACACATTCTGGGCTGATTTATACCCAGTGCTATAAATTGTAGTGCGGATTAGAATCTGACCATATGACCCTATAGTGAGAGTTTATTGACTGACACGTTTGTTTTCTGGGCAACAGATGCACAAAACGTTGGCATGATCGCTGGAGCGGTTTGTGGCGTGGTGCTGGGACTTTCCCTCCTTTTCCTGGTGGTGAGGCTGACAATAAGGAGGAAAGAAAAGAAGAGATACGAGGAAGAGGAGGCACCAAATGAAATTAGGTAACGCCTTCTTTTTTTAATCCTTCACCTCCTACCCTCCCTTCTTTCAGTTTCACACATCTTCTCACTACAGTTTTAAGTAACCTACGTATAAGCGTCTTAAAAGGTTGTTCTAAAAAGCTTGCAAAGTCTCCCTGAAATAACTGACAAATTTCTTGACTGTGAGAATCATCTTTGTGAAGACTTTCCAGAAAATTAGCTAGATGAAAATGTCTTCTTTTTCCCCCAGGACAAATTGGCGTACAACTCAACAAAATACTCTCTCTCAGGCTTGCAATTTCAGCATTTTAAAGCATTTGCATAATCCTTTCCAGTACTTAAATTCAACCCACTTGCCCACTGTGGTTCTGAGAGGTTGAGGGGTGGGGGGTGGGTTTTTTTTTTCAATTGCAATTTTTGTTGAGAATGCTACGAGGCAGGCAGGTTCCCACAGTCTTTCTTGAGCCTTTTGAACAACTGTGCTTCTGGATTTAGCTCAGGGTGAGAAATCCCCTGTGTGCAGAGAGGAGAAGCCTGGCCCTGAGCGGGCGTACCGGGAACGCTGACGCATGTTCTTTGAGCTCCTCTGTTAAACACGTGTGAGGTCTGCCCCTTAACTCCCCTGAACAGAGATTGGTCTCCAGCCAATCAAGCCTAAACTTCTCAGGAAGGAAAGCGCTGGAAAAAGATCTTTCCAGGAATGGGTTTTAGCTGCTCCTGCCCTTGAAGAAACCCCTTGCCTTGTTCCATCCTTCTATTTGTAAACGACTGCCTGCCCTCACATGACATCTCTGTGCCATCAGGCATCTCTATAATCCATTCAGCAGCCGATTATTCTGCCTGGTGGTCAGGTTGCCAGCAAGAAGGTAGCCTCTGCTGATTTCTTCCCCTCCCTTTACTTTCAAATCTTGCACGCCTCCTTAATTTCAGCCTGAGCTTCAGCCTCTTGTATAACCTTTCCACGCATGGCTGTTACCTCTCCTTTCTCTGGGCCCAGTTCTTGCACTTCTTTCACTACCCACGTCTTTTTTTTAACTAGAAAAACTGGTCTCAGCTAGTCCTGTCTAGGTGATTGTCGTTATGAGTAAGGATTACAGAGCAGACAGTTCTATCTGAACTGTTTGTACTCACACTTGGCATGCGTTCCACAGACCTCAGAGCCACACACATAGAGACAGTTTTGTGCAGCGTGTACTCTAAATCCATCCAAGCTGTAGCTCTGTGGGGCAACGGGGAGTTTGGTCCATAAAGTCACTTAGCACCGTATTCAGAAAATGCTGTACCTTGCTCAAACTGCTGGCCAAATCTGCCCTGGTGATTTGCAGCTTCAATAAGCAACTGTTTATTGCAGCAGCAATTCGATCTGGTGAAATGTATTAAGTGTTTCTGTTCTTCGTGGTGTTTGAGCCCTGTCATCTGTTCGATTGCAGAGAAGATGCGGAGGCACCCAAGGCCCATCTCGTCAAGCCAAGTTCCTCTTCCTCCGGCTCCAGGAGCTCGCGCTCGGGTTCCTCCTCGACCAGGTCGACAGCCAACAGTGCCTCTCGCAGCCAACGGACTTTGTCAACGGAAGCTACTCCCCATCTGACTCCTCCCCAGTACGGCCAGAGGGAGACGGAAGGGAAAGAAATCGAGCCAAAGAAAGTTGACTACAATAACCTGATGAAAATGGGAGCGACGCTGGTCATGGTGCCTGCCCAAAGCCGCGCGTTCCAGACCGTGTGACTGCTCACCAACCCTCTGGAGACTCCTGCTGTCCAGAAACACTTCACATACCACCAGTCACATAGGAATTGTTAGATTAGTTATCTTACTGGTCAGCTTAATTTTAATCACTTGTGATTATTCACCCCACAAGAAGCCCTCCCACTCAACTCTTTCTTACATCTTCCAGCACTGAGGTTCTGATACAGAATTACTTTTTTTTTTTTTTTCAAGAAAGATACATTTGAGGGACAAGGGAGCCTTCTTTTTAAATTCTCTTTTTTTGGAAATGGAACACTGCGCATTTTAAAACTACAACAGCTGGGCGCTGTGCAAATGAAATGAAGCCAAACCTCAGGATTTTTTAAAAGGGAACAATGGAGACATAAAGATGCATAATATTCCAGAGAGGTTTTGTGGGGAGGGAAAAGTCTCTTGTACTGGTTTTGGAGAACTTTCTCAAAGATGCGTTGTCTTACCTGAAGATTTTGAGGCAGACTCTCTGCTGAGGGTTCTCTGGTGATCAGCCTCAAAGGGGACAGAGGTTTTCTGCCTTCAGTCTTTTAGTGAAACACTTCTGGAGGCTGTAACTAAAGGGGAAATGAGAGGATCCCTTTAAAAGGCATGTGTCTGAACTCACCTCTCTGCTAAAGAGAAAGGACCCTTTATGTCAAGGAAACAGGTGCTTTAATTGCCAGAATAAACGTAAGGATGCGCCCGGAGAGATACGGCCTGGAGCCTGACTCTGCTTTTACGGCCAGCACTGCAAAGCCACAGCGACTCCGCTGGAGTGGTGGGATCTGTGGCAAATGAGCCTTAGTGTGATGAGGATTGGGCACTGAATCCAAAAGGAAGGCTCTACCTCCAAAAGCGAGGGCCACCAGTCTGCCAAAAAGCCTGGACGAAGCGTTTGGAAGGTATTTTTGCTCTCGCCAGGTTGTGAATTCACCGTTTTTGGGGTGAGCCGTGCTGTAGGAGCCTTATGGAGAGCTCTTCCCAAGACTGAACAAACAGCATTCTTGAGCCTGACCTTCAGGCATCCAGGTAAGACTGAAGGACAGTGACAGAGCACGTAGTGAGGAAAATACACCAGGAGCAGGTAAACAAGCACAATGCTGCTTCCATTAGAAAACAGTTGTGTGCAATGTCCCACTTCTACACCAAACCACATGCTATTGTTGAGGCTTAAACCTTAGCACAACTCTTAAAAAGTAGCAAGAATCATAAAAAATCTTTTCTGGGATTAGATTAGCCAGAATAAACATTTTCAAGGAATAGAAAGTCTTACACGTCAAGTTGAAGGCTAATAGGAAACGATGGGAGATAGGGACAGGCTTCCTCTGGAGGCAGATCTGTCATTTATATTTTCCTCTGAAGGACTTGGCTCCGAGCACTTGTAGGTTCTAGATTCCTGTATTCCTGGACTGATGATTTTCTATTTTAAAAAATTGGGGTTTTTTTTCCATTTGAGGGAGGGAAGGTTTTCTCCAATTTGTGGAATGAGTTTGCCAGCGACGGATCAGCACAGAAGAACCACAACTCTATAATTCTTTCACTCCAGGGACTGTTATTAACCTCCTTTTCTGACTGAGATGCGGAATTTTAGCTTCTTTGCTTGAGATCTTAGACATTCTGACCAAAGTCAAGCCCAGCTCAGGCTACTTCCTTCTGATAAATAGTTTTCAAACCTGCTCTATATGACCTGAGAACTTTTTTCCTCGGAGCAGTCACCCATTTACATCGCACGTACTAAAATTTCACTTGCTCTCTGTATCCCAGAGTCAACCTTTGTCCTTGGCTGGACAAAGTCCGGATCCATTGTGCAGGGAAGGTGGTCTGGAGTCACACATTTGAAGAGAGGAGATATCGGGTGTTGGGCATTTGATAAATTCTATTTTGTGACAGCTCCTGGTGTTGGATAGTGTGGGACTGTACCTGTTTTCCCTGGCTGCTCCAGCGGCAGGTTCCTGGACCAGCCGTGTTTTGGTGGATTTGGTAGTGGCTGTCACTGCTGGGAAGCAGCAGCAGCTCTAAGTGGGATTGCTCCACAGCTGCTCTTTCCCTGGACCCTGAAGGTTTTAGGCTCTCCAGAACTGGGAAGTCCCAAAGAGCACGAGCAGGGCTGCTCAAGTAGTTTGTGGCTCCTTCCACGGTTGCTTATTGTGCTTAACGTTACCTGGGTTGCATCTGAGGAATCTTACTCTATGCATATAAAACCAGGAATGCTTTTTTTCAGTAAAGAACACATGCCTGAGCAACCAAAAGCTTATTACCCCCAAATAAGGGTAACAGTTCTAACAGTTGAGCTGTACAGCCCGGGTAGCAAATGCTGCAGGTTAGATTTGAGTCACAGGCCAGAGCTGCAATTAATTAGCAAAGAGGAGGATGCTCCGTCCACAGCCCGGGGGCCACTTGCCGCCAGCTGGGAGAATTTGCCCAGAGAAGTCACACAAGTTGTCAGTCTGATGGCATGGGATGAGAGGTTTAGGAACCTCGGGGAGGAGAAGTCAGTCTGCTTTATTCCAGCCATCTCACAGGTGAACACAAAGTCGATTTTGCACTTCGGTTGTCAGTGTGAAGCCCAAAGGGAAACGTTTATTACTCAAGGGAAATACAAGAGATCATTTCAAAGGTATTTTATTTTCCAAGGGACATTTTCTGAGCTCCGGATGAGACCATCAGGAGTTGCACAAGGGAAGCAAATGAACCATAAGCCAAACTCTATTTTGTAAAATAGTGTACTTAAAGCATTTACTGTCATATACCAGTTATTACTAGTGTGATTAAATGCATACAATGTTACGTAGCTTTCTTTTGTTTCTCAGCAGCTAAACTACGCTTACATCTCTTCTACCTGCTATAATTGGTGCACTTGTACTGTGTCTGAACAACTCAGAGGAAAGCAAATATTTATTATTGATTCCTTTGAATCAATGATTTCATAATATTATTTTTTTTTGGTTGGTTGTTTTATAAATAAATGCTGCAGCTGAAGCGCTACAGCTCAACTAAACTTGTGCTGCATTTTCTGTGGTGTGATGTGTTACATGCTGTCAAGCTGAATCCAAGGGAAAAAAATAGAGAGTCAAAAATACCATTTTTAAGCTAACAAGGAACTATGTGCGTATTTGCGTGGGGAAGCTGGGGTAGGTTATTTTCCAGTCTAAATTATGGTATGAAATAGGTGAAACCTCAGGTGTATTGAAGTAAATGGTGTTTTGACTTCCATGCAGCAATTTCACCTGAGGTATTTTGGCCAAGGACGTTGGTGCTTCAAGCTTAGTAAGATAAACCGTGGCGGCGCAGACACAGCAGAGATACAAACCTCCCACTCCTCCACCTGCGACCCAGCTCCCGAACCACCCACTGCCTTTCAGGCCCTCCTGAACAGGGAGAAATGAAACCATGAAACAATGAAAATGAATGAAACCTTAAACAACTAAGACACTTCAGACAGTTTAGATCATCTCTGCAGATAAAACATTTCCAACTAGCTCACAGGAATTTCCAGCCAGGGAGATGTAGGTGGAATTCAGGGTAACTAAACATAACTGTGGTTGGTTCCTCTTGCAGTGCTTCAGCCTTCTTTCCCCCCGGGGGTGTTTTGAACCGAGGTCTCCCAATGTCAGCAATCTTCTTTATTGAAATCTGGGAGTAAAAATTGCGACATAATTACACAGTATTTAAAACAAAACAGGGTGACAACACAGTGGTCTCATAGGTGTGTCCTCCTCTCTTGTCCCTGATTCATGAGGAAATGCTTTTACTGGCTCCCTCCTGAGTCGATGACATCCAAAATCCTGCTGAGGCGATACAGGTTTTGAGAGGGGTTGTGCAATTGCATCCTTTTGTACAGTATCAGGAATCTTGGGTTATTTTTAACCTGGATCAGTTTGTACTCACACACTGAAGGGGGAGAACATGGTGGGAAAGGGAAGGGACGGCCTTGGAAATGCCTGATTTTCAAACTTCAGCCAGGGTGTGCAGCTGCAAGTGTGGTGTAAATAACAAATGCTGTTGTTGTGAATAGGAAGCGTGTCTTTGATAATCTGAAGCATGTCTTTGATAATCTCCACTGTCTTCCCAGTTCTGTTTTAAAACGCTTAAAGGAGGAGCAGCGCTTGTCTCTCATGTACTAGATTGGCTTCAAAAAATAATATTGGAATTCATCATTTGAAAAATCTCCACACAGAATACTTGTCCAGCCTGCTGAGCCTTCATTTTTCTGATATACAGTAAATGAGCCACTTTTGTCCAGTGTGTTAACAGCCTTCCATTTCTGATGAAATGAGTCATTTGCCAAACTGCCCTCCTCCTCCTCCCTGCACTGACTCACTGGTGCTTTAGGCTGCCTTCACTCGCTATCAGGCTGCTGTGCCAACCATGGCTGCACATCGAAATGTCACTAATTTAATTTCAAGCTGCAGGTAGTGCTATTCTTAGATCCTACTGAGATTCTGGCCATGATTTACAAAACCGAAACAAACAAACACAAAAAAAAAAAAAAAAAAGCAAAAGAAATCCAGCAACCAGCTCAAAAGAGAGCCTTCCCAAGTGACCAAAGGTGAAGTGAGAAGAGGTCTCAGACTCACTCAGCTCTTCAAAGATCCAATTTAAATAACAGAAAATTGCGCTGCCTGTCTTTTTTGGTTTTTTTTGTTTTTTTTTTCTCCTCCCCTCCCCTTTTCTAGTTCTCTAGAGGTCTTCTTTCTGTAGCAGTGAATTATTCCTTGGGCTTTAACATAACACAGCGTGTATCCCCGAAAACTGTTAAGGGCTGCCTGTCCAAACAGAGCTAAAAGGCTTCCGAAACACTGCCGTCTCGTGGCACCACCGCGGCTGCTGTAGCACGTACAGCCTCACCAGAGGTCACAGGCAGATGTCACAGGCATTTAGCAGCAGGCTGGGTACGCAGGGGAAACTTCCTCAGATTTCACAGACCATAATTTACAAAACCAAAACAAACAAACAAAAAAAAAAAAAAAAAAAAGCAGAGGCAATCCCTTGCTCCATGAGACCTGGTGTGGGATGTATTCAGTTTGAATTAGCACCGCGTGCCGGAGAAGTATCTCCTGTGAAGGCTAGGAGCCTGTACTCTGGACATGGTGGATTGCTCTTTGCATGCCATACCTGGTCAGATACGAGCTGATGCTTTGTACTGACCACCCTTATCTTTAAAGGCACAGATGAGTGATAGTGCTCGGCAATATGGACCCCCCCCTTCCTTTTCCTGCTGCCTCTCCTGTCTCTATCCTTTTACACCCAAGTACCAACTCCAAACTAAGTCTCCCAGTTCAGGTTCCAGCCCTGCGTGTGGCACAGCAAGGACTGGAGCCACAAACTGGCTCAGCACACCCACCCCATCTACCACAGGAGCCTGGTGGCATGTGGCAGTGAGAATCTGCACATTAGTGGGCTACCAGCTGGGCTACCTGCGTCATGTTCCTTACCAGAGGTCACTCAAAATTGCCTGAAAGAAAGGAGGCGTTAACACCTCGTCTGTCTGAGGGTGCAGGCAAGCACCTAGCAAGGTACCACAAACATCCATTTCATTGGGGTCAGGCTGAAAAGAGAGATTTAATAGTTCCCCTTCTCAATATTGGGCTTTTAAAGCAGCTACCAGGAGTGGTTTTATCTAAGGCCACGCCTGTGGGCAGCAGTAAGAGATGTATTTTCATGCAGTTCTTGCCCTGGCTATAGATGTTCCTTTGTCCTTTTTCTACCACATGGGGTGATGGAGGCTGGCCAGGTTTTTGTGTAGCCATCCCCCGAGCGACTCCCTCTGAACTTTTCCATGCCGTGTTTTACGCCACGGTAAACATTCCATGACCCGATGTGATTCCTGACCTCCGATCTGCTCCCAGCCTCCAGCGCCGAGACCAGCCAAACGTTTGCGGCCCTCCATCTGCTCCCTTCACCCCCGAGGACACCGAGTGGCCAGGGTTTTCCACCCTTCAGAGCTGGCCGTTCCCCTTCCCGCTGAGGGAAGCCACGCTGAGGGCAGGCAGCGAGCAGCACCCACGTGGGGCTGTCACCTTGTCCCTTAGCCAGGTGTGTTGGCACCCATTATGGGCGAGAAAATGTTAGGACAGATTAAAAAGTAGGGCTGGAGGTGCTGTGGAGGCCGGGTGTCGCTGTGGAGAAGCCAGTGTCACCCTAAAACACCACAGACAACATGGTTTCCTCTGCCCGGGCGGGAATGAAGTGTGGGGAGACGTCAGAGAACGCTGCCTCATGGCTCGTTAAAGAGAGCGTGAAGGATTAGAGCTGCTGGTATAATTAGCGTGCTCAGAGAAATTTACTGAAGCAAAAAACGCCGCAGGAAGCCCTCAGGAAGTGTTAGGCAACGAGTCGCGAGCATCAAAATGCGAAATGCCATCATTCCTCTCAGGGGAGAGGGCGATCTCGCAGGGCTCTGTCCCAGAGTAAGCCCCCTGCCCCTCCAGCATTCCCACCGGAAAGCCAAACCCTCACTTTTTTGGCTGGGTTTGATCGGCCTGCCCTTAATTCTGCTGTCAACCGGTTATAACCACTGAGCCCCGCATGGCGCCGCCATTTTGTCTCCCCCCCCCCGCCATCTTGTGCCCCCCCGCCCGGCTCCCCCTTCCCGTAGCCCACCGCCCTATGCAAATCAACCCGCCAGCCTTGCGACCTGATTGGCCGTTCTCGCCCCAAGCGCCCTTTCTCCCTGGCGCGCGAAATATGCAAACGAGTCTCCGGACGCCGCGTTGCGATTGGTTGTCGCTCGCTCTTTCTCTACCCCCCCTCCCCCCGTCCCTACCCCCTCCAGCCTACGCTCGCCGATGTCGTCACCCGCATGCGGCCCCTGGGGGGCTTCTCATTGGCTGCCGCGCCCGCGAAGCTCCGCCTCCCGCCCGTTGCGGCGCGGCTGGCGGTTGGGGTGGGGGGAGCGGGGAAAGCGCATGAAGGTTCGAGAATACCGGCCGGCCGGCGGGCACGCCCCCTTCCGTCCTGCGTCACGGCGGGTGCGGGTTCCGGCCCATGGCCATTGGCCGGCAGGGCGGCGGCCCCCGCCAGCGGATTGGCTGGAGCGGGGCGAAGGGGCGGGCCCTTCTGGAAGGTTCTGAGGGGGTATATAAAGGCGGCGGGGCGGGCGCCCGCAGGTCTCATTGAGCAGTTACCTTGGAGAAGCAGTTTCCCTTGTGGCCTGTGCGCGCCGCTCAGGTAACGGGGCCTGCCGGCCTGGGGTAGGGGGGGGGGGGGGGGGG